TTATCACATGAAACAATATGCAAGTTCAGTAAATTGTTTTATGTAAGCATATTTATTGTAATTTTTTTTTGATGTGTTTAGAAGTGACAGACTGACTTCAAAGAGGGTTAACGAATCTAAAGAAAGAAACATAACACTAAACCTTGGGTCAAGTAAAACACTTTTGCCAACTCACCATTTTTCCCTTCTTCAGAAAGAGAATTAAAAAGTCAATTACTTGTGCAGCTCCAGCCTCAGAGACATGCTTTGTCACCTGCCAACAGCCACCACTGACTTCAGAAACTACACATATCTCAATGTGGGATGGGATTTTATTCTGTATAATCAACTTTTAAGGGGCATACTTTAGTTACATTTATACATTGATGGTGGAATTTTCTTGTTTACAGCAACTACTCTTTTGCTCTTTTTCACTTCATTTTAGACAACTCTTGTGAAAATTATCACCCATTTTGTGTAAACTCGAAAACAAATTCTTTCAAGATCAATATTTTTAAGCAAGTAGTATATACCAGTCAGTGCAGTAGTATGCATTTAGCCTAACAAAATGGTGCCTAGACAGTGTGGAAAACAGAGGATGTAACACTTAAGCACTCCTTATGAATCCCCAACAAATGTTTGAACAAGATTGGCTCCAGTTGATTTGATTTCATTTCTCCCAGAGTCATGAAGATGTGATATGAACAAGCTATTGTACCTTATAAAAAGTTTCTACAGAACTAGTCAAATCTGATTTTCTGATGATTAGTCATCATCATTAATCATAGCTAGCACTAAGACAGAAATTGTGAACATTTTAAAATTAGTAATTAATAATTTATTTTTTGAAGGAGCAGCACTGAAGCAAGACAAGTAAATGAGTTTGGAAAGCCTTCCAAATGTGTACCTTCATTACAAAGGTGCTGTTTTTGCCAAGTGAAGACATGGTACACTCAGCCGTTCAGCGAACACCATGAACTTCAATTTAGGTGCATCACAAGTTTGGAACTAAATAAAAATAAATTTTAAAAAAGTCAAGAATACTAAACATTATTGAATCATTATTAACTGTAAATCTGATAGCATGTCTGTGCTAATATGATCTATAGAATTGATTTTATCATTGCTGAACCATCAGAGAAATGAGCCCATCTGTTACAATTTGCAGTTACAAGCTGTGATTCTGCTTAGGACTTCGGCCATCAGTCCTGGTACGCTGGGAGAAGATGTCTGAACATGCCTTGGGACCAACAAGAATACAAAGAGGATCTTCATGAACAGATTTGCTAAGGAGTACACACTATATGGTTGTCCCTTCTCAAAAAAAATTATTGTTCAAATCTTGGAAAACAGCTTCACAGGAGGATGAAATCTTACTGCTCTAATGTCCTTTTATTCAGGGCACTATTTGCTTAAATAATGCAACTTGCTGAGCAACTGGAACAGTTCTTCCTCAGCAAGATGCTAGAGCACTGCAGGAACCAGGTTTCCCACCTGCAAATTGTCTGACACTTTCCTGGAACCACCAAAACCCTCCCCAACGGAGGCACGGCCGGCAGATTGCCTCCTGCCATCAGTCATCACCACAGCAGCAGAGGTCATTGGGAAAGGGCCTGCAACCTCTATCGCTTCCCTACAGCGAAGGCAAAAGGCCACAACCTCCCCCCCGGCGAGGCAGGGAACACTGCAACAGCCCAAGGGCACCTCCCCTGCCCATTGCATGCATGGTGGGAATGTCAGTCCGACCCACCGCAGCAGGGGAGCTGCCGTGAGGAGGGAATCCTGAAGGAGCGCCCTGTTAACTCCCAGCCCCATGGATATACCATATACATGGATCTACATGCACATTTTATGCACATACCTATATAGGATTTTTTTCTTTACTTTGTAAATATAGAGCTTTAACATACTTAAGGTTATCTATCGTACTTCAGGTTATCTAACCTGAAAGCCTTTCTAGAAGTAAAATTACTCCAGTAATGATTTGTATGAGACAAACACCTGGACTATCTAATAGGATTAAATTATAGTGTGGATAAAATTACCTTTAGAAGCTTAAAAAAACTTCAACAACATGCAATGAGATTAGACGGGCTATTAACACCAGTTAGGCCACAGGCTTAAAAATGGTCATTTCATGGAAACACCAAAGTTAATTTTTTGAAGATGGAAGCAGCAGGATTAGTCCACTGTTTCTTTCAGCACATACCTTCAAAGACATTTAACTCTTATTAGAGACACAAAAAGTTTATCTTCAACTCACAGTCACTGCTTCTTCTGAAAGATAAACTGATAAAATTTGTAAGCCTCAGGAATTTAACTGTGTTGTAGAAAACAAAATCCTGATTTAAATTATTTTTTGCCTAGAAAAACAAAGATTAAAGGGCAACAGGATCAAAGATCCTCCCTCATGAGAATTTCAGAAACTATGTTTTACTGCTTCAGTGTCAGGCAATTTGTAGTATTCAGTTTCCCTTCTTCCCCAAGAGGATAAAGTCAGAAATTTCAACAAGAAAAAGGGCTAAAGCTTGCTGCAGTCCTAATCCACAACTTCCCAGTGAAAATTTAATCCTATATATAAGGATTTAATATATAAGGATATCACATATAAATTTTTCTGTTCTTTTAAGCTGAAATTTCTCTACTTAGTCAGTACCAGACTGCTGGTGAGCGCAGGTGGACACTTGTTTTGCTGTGTGCTAACTGACAGTGGCTGTCATGTAAGTAGTTATGGTGATGGTAATTGTTTTCATTTATAGTCCAAGCCTTGGAGTAAAATCTTCCAAGATGAAGAGCTAAACACCTAGTGACAAATTTAACTTGTTCCCTAACGCATATGAAAATGAATACATACATCTATTCAGAGACACTACCCAGAAAGTTAATCACAATGTTATTGTGCCCTTTATTAGCCAAAAGTATGTCCATCATTCCTGACACAGTCTGTGCCAACATCAGTCACCATGCACTAAAATAAGTTGCAGTTAACACTCCACCACATGAGGTAACGAGGGTTTGAACATCTTGGAAAATTATGCATGCAGGCAAGTCTGGCTCAGCTGCACGCAGCCGTGCCGACAAGTTTGACCTGACTGCAAGATCCTGCACAGGGAGCTTGGGGGCTCGGCCATGCAGCAGAAATGCAGAGAGCAGCCTTCTGGCCAGTAGGTAGGACCTCCCTCCCTCCCTGTGAAATGTCAGGGAGCACCATGCGCTGCTGCACAAGTGATTTTACCGATCGGTGATAGAAAAGTATTGCTTCCCAACCCGAGGTTTTTCTGTACACCATGCAGTCATCCCGTGCAGGGCCAAAGCCAGCCAGTTTTACACTGAGCAAGAGCTGAGTCTTTGCAGATTAACTGCACAACAAATGCAATTTCAGTCAAATACCGCCAGGTGCTCATAACTGCAGCTGACAGATGAAAGGGACCATTAGCACTGAGTCCCTTCCCTTGCAAGTGCCAAACGTAACTAGCCACAACTCTTTGTCAGAATGGATGTTGGTGGATGATTGCGGGAAACTACATGCAGGTAACATACAGATAAATTGTAACAATTCTTCTAACCTCCCTAAGCTAAGGTAAAATATAGGAAACAATGAATTATCCAACAAGTCCTGCAGACAGATGCTGGCAGCTGTCCACAGGGCAGGTTTTGCATTCAGAGGTGCAAAAGTCCCAGCAGCTTCTGCCATTGAGGCGAAAGGAGAAGGAGGGAGCAGCTGGGCTTCCTCTGCGAGCAGAAGGTTTCACAAACAATTACGCCCCACATGGGTCAGCAAAGAAAAAGGCTCAGATTTTTAAAAGCATCTAGTTATCTGGTAAGATTATCAAAACCATGTAGGTGTCTTTAAACATCTAACTTCCTCTGGGGGGAAAAAAAAAATATGTCTGAACAGCTTAATCGTCCCTTAGTGCAGCAAACAAAGTTCAGTTCAAATTTGAGGGTGGAAGATCAGAACTTAAAAGGAAAATCTCAAAATGAAAGAGCCTTCTCTCCCCCCTCCTGTCTGCAAGGTACAAAAGGCAAAGGCACATAGAAAAGAGCAGTTTACCCTATCATTCCTGCAGCTGTCCAGGTAACAAATAATTAAAACAAAATGAGCCTCACATTTGCAAAAAATTGAATTGTGACCATCTGGGCTCAAAGTTTCCAGTAACAATTATGAAGTATCCTGATGATATACATTTGATGAAAAAAAGCAAAGGATTGCGGTACTGAATTACAGCAATTTTAAGCAGTGTAGATACAGCCAAGAATTAATAGGAATTGCTCATCTACCTCTGGCTTCTCTGTATTATGACAGCTAAGAGATAGAAAGAACTCAAGAAAGCAAGAAACTTTTCATAATAGAAACAAAGAAATTGGTGATAAAAATGAAAACCCACATCTTCAGATATATACATTGACATTCTCTAACACCTCTTCAAATACAATTTAAGCATTACAATCTAAGTATCTTTTTCTCCAAGACAATTCAAACAGGAATTGTCTTTTTCTCATGAAGGAATACTTCTGCTCACAATCTTACTGCCTTCCTAATGCTTTCTGCTTGTATGGTTGAATGTACAGTCAAGACATGGTAATAGTAAGGGGAGAAACTTATAGGTATACAATATCAAGACAAGCAGCTCCTGATATTCAATTATACTGCTGGATTAACAGACATTTCTCATTAAATACACATTACTAAGTTCCTTCAGACCTCTCAGTTTCCGACATAGCTTTGTGAAGCAAAAAGCCAGCAATGCTACAAAAAAAACAGTACTACCTAGGACAGGATATACCATGTCAGGAATCATGGAAGTGTTACTTTGATGATAAAACCCCAAGTACATTATTAAAAAATAACAGAGCGTTATCAAAGTTAGTTTAATAGCAACAACAGAAACTTATTTTTTATTTTTTAACACAAGTTATTTTCAGCTTTCCACAATCTCTTCCATACAAGATAGAAGGCTACAGTTCTTTTTTATTTTTGAAAGGGAAATTGGACAGAAAAAAATCTTGTTGCTGCTTATTTAGAAGCCTTGTAAAAATTCTTGTAGCTGTGCAACTATTTCTGTATCGACGGTTTCCATAAGTGCCTGAAAACCTTGTTCTCTTTCCTGCTGTGCCTTTAGCTTCTCATAGATGAACTGCTGCAATGACACAGTGTGTACAGGGTCCTTCAGTGCCAGCTGTGGAAAACATGTAAGAGAGAAAAGTGTAATAATGGACTAAAATATACTCTGTGATTTACTTGTATCTTTTATAACCTCAGCCCAAGAAAGAAAATGGCTTTTCTTTGTACTTATAACTGAGAAACAAGAGGAAAAACTCCTGTAAAGCAAAGATCAAGTTATTATCAAACCCAAATATCAGTTTAAAACTATTTGAAACAGTCTCAAATCATGGACCCAGCCTGCTATAGGAATTCACCCTCCTGTAAGATAAAACAATTTCAAAGCTGCTTTGTTAATTACTGCTGAATTGAGTTTCCCATAACTCCTAAAACACACATCAGATGTTACCATGATAAGCACTTTACAGATGACACAAACGATGGTCAGTTATACTTTACTAGTAAAGAAACAAAATACTGAAAAAGTTGAACTAGTTTATATAACAAACAGCAGCTAATAAACTGTCCATACGCATAAAGAATAGACCCACTTCTTCAGCAGTAGTACCAATATAACCTCATCAGCCCACCTGGATTATGCAATTTTCTTTTGGGCAGGGAGGGACAGAGAATTTGTCACTATTTTCCACATGCTAACTACTACTTAATGAAAGCAAAAAGAGGTAAATGAAGGGCCTACATTGACAGAGGACCTATTCTTAATTTCAATGTCAGAAGACAGGTGTGGGCAGGCTAAGGACACAGTTATGCAGCATTTATCCCTCAGTTCACCAGGCTGGATGTAAGTGGAAGGCAAGTGGGGACACCTGGAGGTTGCAACATCATAAGGAAGTAGCACATTGAAATAAACAGCAAATTACTGCAGACGTGGGATCTGTTCATCTTGGTATCAAAACCAAACAACACTACTATTTATGCTGGAAGGTCAGCAAACAAAATATAATGCTAGACCTCAAATCCCACTGAAATAGACTTCTGAGCTCATAATTCCCTGCAACACTGCCACTGACAAAGAGATGAGGCATATTAAACTTGCACAACTGCTCTTTTGGCATGACACACACACACACACTCCATTTTAATATGGAGTGGAACACATTAAACCTTAAGATTATTTATTCATTTATTAAACAATATTACACCCAAAAGAGGGGGACATACTGATCAAAACAGACATATAAATATAAGACAAACATCCAAAACTATTGCAGCTACCACAAAAAAAAAGATGTTAGCTTTGTTTCTTGTGAACAAATCCAGTGAAAAAGCAGGTTGCTTTTTAGCCTATTACATCAGTGCTTGTGAGTTCTTCCTTCTTTATTGTGGACACCTCACCTTTTTCACTGTAAATCTCTTAATCATTCCCTCAGTATTCCCTTAATCATTCCCAGTATTCCTCTCAATCCTTCACCATTTTCTGCTATCCATCTATTTTACATGTCAAAGGTAAGAGAGGATCATTTTATTACCTATTCCTAACATCACACTCTTTGGAAAAGGGGAGTAATTGCAATAATAGTTTCGTATTCTGCAATAATTCTTAGAGAATGTAATCTGGTCTCTAGAATATAAACAAACTTTTCAAATTAAAACTCTACATTTCTAAATCACAGACACTATAATAATGATTTGCCAAGGTTAGTGATATCCTTTTGTAACAGCATTAAGCACAATCTACAGGGTAAAAAAAGACTCTCTTGTCAAGCAAAGGTTCTACCAGTTTCTGAACAATTCACATTTGTTAACCAACAATTGTAATTTGGTATATAACACAATTCTAATTAGTTAGCTTCAGTAAGTTCAAAGCTCTAAACAGCCATGTGTAGAATTCCTGTAGGGAATTCTGCACAGCAACACAGGTATTAAAATTGACATTGACAAGTGTTCTCAACCTTGTGACCCTGACACAGCAGCAGCTTAGGTGAATGGCATGCACTACAAAGTCACCTTTGGAAGCACTACCAAAAAAAGGCACTGTAACAAACTTTTAACCCAAAAACCCATTAATCCACATATTTAGATAACTGTATGACTTATGTGACCCTACCATAAACCTTTGTTTAAGTTAAAGTACTTCTACTGTATCAAGACAAATTAATCTAATCAGCAATTTCACATTATGAAGTTTATTCTCCTGATACCTTAAAAAAAAAAACAAAACAAAAAACAAAACCAGACTTAAGTCAATGGTAAATAAACCTAATTTCTCACATGTCAATGTTCACTAGTAAGTCTCAACTTAAGGACAGATATAATGCTTTTCTAGCACCCCAATGGTGGTTTTCAAACTCGGAACAAAAGTGATGTGTTGTTTTGAAAATAAAGGGTTTGAATCCCTGTGTATTTGCAAAGCTTGCTGGATCTTGAAGTCTGAGCTATCTCTAGTATCTCTTATAATAGTAATTATAGAGATGCTCTTTAGCATCTCTTAGAGGTGCTGATCCTCTAGCACCTGCATCATGCAAGTAATGACAGGTTTCCAAATAATCCTCTGAATCATCTCTGCAATACTACTGAAAAGTAAGTATCTTGAAAAAAACAAAAGTAAAGAAAATTACAAAACTGAATATATTACAGAATTCAAAGTTAATATTTTTTATTCCCAATGGAGGTGCCAGATTTGCACAATGCTGAGAGTTACAGGAATAGGCTACTGTATGTACTGCAACTTTGGTTCATAACTACTTTGATTTTAGAAGTATTATAATTCCACATTTTCTTTTTCATAAAACCTAGTGAAGCCTGTCAACTTAATATGCAGTTTTTCCACTAGACAGGAAAGTAACTGAAACATTTCTGCTGCCTATTTACCAACATATGTTCTCTCAGGACAAGTGAGAAATTGTACAAAACTCTGCCTGGTTTATTGCAACAAACATAACCCCATCCCTCACAGTTCAACACAGCTGCACTGTAAGCCAGCAGGGATTTTTGTAGTACGAGTAATGCTTGCCACTAGAAGCAGCATCTAGTATCTCTAAGCCAAACGAGACTTCAGTCTTCAGACTTAAGGACTTAATACACTAATTTGATTTCATTCAGAAAGTAATGTCAAAAATATTTCAAGTAAATTAAAGAGTTCCCTGCAACAATAATAAATCTGCTTTCCTTTCACTCTACATTTTTGGAACTTGTATTCAGAACTAATACAAATGAAATAGCTTGGTATAACTAGTTTGTAGACAATATTAGACAATCAGCTGCAGTCTTAGCTGAATAAGCAAGAAAAATTTTAAGTTTGGAAGAACAGTAAGCGCTGTTATTTATTCACTCTATTTTTGCTATGACAAAACTAAAATAGTATGAGGTTTAAGAGAAGACCCATAAGATGTTTTCAGATTATTCTATTTGCTTTCTGGAGGAAAAATCATCCTCTTGAAAACCAAGTCTCCAGCTTGCTAAGCACTGAACATCCAACATCAGTCCGTCATGGAACACAACCGTATCAATATTAACACTGGCTACTTAGTCTGCAAACACTGGGTCAGGGACCATATTTTTGAATGTAAGTATGTATGCTGAGTTCCTAAGTGTGTGGACAAAGATTTTCCAATACAAGCTCCTAATTCTGAAAAGAGCAAAACAGACCTATTTTCCAGTAAAAAGAAAAAACCAAACCTCACAGCTTCTTAGTCAACACAACGACACATAGAAAACCTAAGTTTGGCGACGAAACACACATTACTGAAATGTGCTTTACGCAGCTCAGTGAAAACCTGATTTGACTAGCTTTTGAATCTAGTTACTTTACAAAATTGATCTTGAAACTGGACATGGGTGCTCACCTTGGGGTTGCACTGAAAAAACTAATCTTCCACCTCACTGACTGTAAACAGGAGTTTGAATCAGAAAAGCAGAGCATAGGTTTTACAGAACAACCGTTTCCCATCCCTCCAAACTCCACTTGCCAGTACCAACAGCATTCTGCAGAATTATCAGTTGTTTGAACCAGTATGTGTTAGGTGGATCTCCTTCCTCAGCATCATTAGATGACACTACAGTCAAAAATCACACTGTTTTCAATAAACAATTAGATACCATATTCTGTACTAAACCAGTGATCTAATTAATACAAGCAATAACACAAGCCAATGCAATGGCATTAGAATGCAAGAACAGGTAATAAAAGTCTAATAAAACTCAAAAAAGTGTGTTGGTGACATCTGAATTAAATTGGTGAAAAGATATCCAGAACTTAAGAGATTCTCTTCAGTTTAAGTATGGATACTTCGATACCACAGAGGGAAAAAGAATACTGGACATAAAATGACACATATTTAGCATAATGGTTAGTATCTCATGACCATGATGCTCTGGGAAAGACTGGTAAAATAATTTAAGGAGAGAATGTATCCTTTAGTTTAACAGTGATTAGAAAATGAAGCCAGGTGATATGAAAGGTTCCTAATATCAAAGCTTTTAAACAGATTTCAGTGGTGCACACATTGGATCTGTGGTTAATTTGTAGACTAAATTATAAAGAGAAATTATACCCCAAGTAATGAAGTATTATTTTTAGTATGCCACATTATCACATAAAACTTGATCATTTGGCTTATTTAGTCATTTATTTTCCTAGATATAAAATCATGATTCATCTAGTTTCTTCCCATGCTAGGGTAAAATAGAAAAACTCCCAAACCTTCTATATTTACATACAAGGATCATCTAAAACATGTACCAGCATGGATAATTCAGTTTGAAAGAAGATACATTTTTACTAGAAAATACTATACTTCATTTTTTCTCTCCACAGTTTCAAATAAAGAGTTGGAAAAGCTTAATTCCCTTTTTGAACAATGATTCCAGAGTTCTTAAAAACATAAGGGCTCATGAAAATACGTCACCTGAGGTCTATACACTATGTGCAATTCAGGGTCACAAATCACTCTCCATCTAATTACATTTTCCTCAATATATTTGAGGAATATAATATAAATGAGACTAAATTATAGCACTATCTGGAAATGTAGATTACATAAAACTATCATAAACTTACAAAGCACTGTTCTAGCTAAAACTCTCAGGCAATTAAGAAAGGACTGCAGATGTAAAGTTACTATGTTTTTTAAATCTAATTAACAAACCAAATTTTTTTTTATATAGAAAAAATAATCCTTATCCATAATGATATATACATACTTATCTATGTCAAGAGACTATTCAAAACCACTAAGAATAAATATTATTCTGCAACAAACACCTAGAATTTAAGTCTGTAAGCCAGAAGAAAACTTAACCATATTTAACAGAGTCTAGGCAAGCTTTTATGAGTAACTGAATTCTAGAACCACCTAACACATTAAGGACCACAGAAAAGAATATTTCCACGTTTTGCTTAAATCTGAGTTTGCAAGACACTAGGAAATCTCTGTAAGACATTACTAACAGCAGAAGAATACACAAGTGTTTTTGTGTAATTTCCTTCTTTTAAAAAAGGAACCATTTATTAATTAGTATTTAAAAGAAAAATCTACTAACAAACCCAAAGCATCCAGTGGCTTAAAAAAACTCACAAATTAAAACAAACTATCAAAAACCACCCTAACACTTTTCCAAACCTACAAGAAAAAATGAAGTACTAAAGGACTGCCCAAAAGTATTCTTTTGGATACACGTAGGTCAGTTAAAGCAAATCACCCAATTCCATATTTTGCAATTACTCAATGCCAAGCAGTTCAGACTCTATTTTATTCCATGGCATTTGTATACTGTAGTTTTCTGTGTGAGGAACCAGTCTCCCTGAACTCTTACAAAGGTAAATTAGATTATGAAACATTCACAGTTTATGTTGGACAAAAATAGCACAATTGCATAGTACCGAGTCCAGATCTCTTATCATTTAAGCCAATGCTCAAGTTCTTCACATTAGAAGAAGGTTCTACACAAGCATATGGATCAATAGCTATTCAGGTAAAACATATAATCAAAAATAATTGTTTTAAATATGAGAAACTTGGCCTGCCGTGACATTTTGGTAAGCTTTAGCTCTATGATTTTCAATAAACCTTTTTTATAGTGTCTAAGTATTATAATGTCCAGACTTTGTGACAAGATCATGTTTATTTTGGCAACATTTTCTAAGACTCGAAAGCAGAAGCATAACTATTGTGGCTGCAAAGTCTGTCATCAAAGCATTTTCCTTTTTTGATTCAAGAGATGAATTTTCCAAGAACAACAGATGAACCAAATTCAAAGGCAAAGAATTTAGTCTGACACAAGTGAACCACATAATCAGTTCTATAACTGAATAGCAAATCTAAAACTTACCATTTTTTTCCTTTTGTCTTGTTCTGTGGGAGGTTCTTCATCTTCTGTAACTTTGGGCTCTTCAAAATGAGACATCAACATGCAGCTAAGAATTAAAGTAAGAATAGCTTAAACATACATTATCATTAAAAAATATTTTAAAGCACTTTTAAATACACAGGACAGATATGAGGGACTTTGATGAAAGTCAGGCAATCTGTTAGCAAGTCATTTTCTTCTGAGCACAGCGAATCTAAAGAAGCCTGAATGCATGTTCTGTGTCACCTATACCCATGTAACAGTCTCAGTTATCTTCTGTATTTTAGCTAAAGTTCTGGCTTAAAAATGCATTTCACAGAATCACAGAATAGTTTGGGTTGGAAGGGACCTTAAAGGTCACCAAGTTCCAACCCACCTGCCACCGGCAGGGACACCTTCCACTAGACCAGGTTGCTCAAAGCCTCATCCAGCCTGGTCTTGAACACCTCCAGGGATGGGGCATCCACAACTTCCCTGGGCAACCTCTTCCAGTGTCTCATCACCCCCACAGTAAAAAACTTCTTCCTAATATCACATCTAAGCCTACCCTCTTTCAGCTTAAAACCATTACCCTCGTCCTATCACTACACTCCCTGAGTGTCTCTCCATCTTTCCTGGACGCCTCCTTGAAGTACAGGAAGGCTGCTATAAAAGATCTCCTCAGAGCCTTCTCTTCTCTAGGCTGAATAACCCCAACTCTCAGCCCATCCTCATAGGGGAGGTGCTCCAGTTGTCTGACCATTTTCATGGACCTCCTCTGGACTCGCTCCAATAGGCCCATGCCTTTCTCGTGCTGAGGACTCTACAGCTGAACACAGTACTTCAGTTGGGGCATCACAACAGTGGAGTAGAGGAGGAGAATCACCTCCTTCAACCTGCCGGACACACTTCTTTTGATGCAGCCCAGGATACAGTTGGCTTTCTGGGCTGCAAATGTGCATTGACGGGTCACGTTGAGTATGTCATCAACCAACACCTCCAAGTCCTTCTCCTCAGAGCGGCTCTCAAGCCATTCTCCACCCCGCCTGTATTTGTGCTTGGGATTGCCTCGACCCACATGCAAGGACCTTGCACTTGGCCTTGTTGAACTTCATGACAGTTGCACAGGCTGACGCCTCAAGCCTGTCAAGGTCCCTCTGGATGGCATCTCTTCCCTCCAATCTGTCCACCACACCACACAGCTTGGTGTCACCAGCAAATTTGCTGAGGGTGCACTTGACCCCATGATCCATGTCTCTGACAAAGATGTTAAACAACACTGGTCCCAGTACCGAACCCTGCAGAACACCACTTGTCACCGGTCTCCACTTGGACATTGAGCCATTGACCACAACTCTTTGAGTGCGGCCGTCTAGCCAATTCCTTATCCAGCGAGTGGTCCTTCTGTCAAATCCATGTCTCTCCAATTTAGAGACAAGGATGCCATGTGGGACAGTGTCAAAAGCTTTGCACAAGTGTACACAGACAACGAACGTAGCCTGAACTATGAGTAACGGGTAGTACTCAGTGGGGTGAACCAGCTCTGGGAGTTTTCTAGTTATATCCCTGACCCAGGCCCCAGGGAGGCAGCACACTTCCCTACAGCTTGGGACCGGTCTGCAAATGGAGTCGCCTACCACAAGCACCCTTCTTTCTGTCCTGGCAGTGTGGCTTGAGCATTTGCCAGTGAAGACTGAAGGAAAAAGTCATTGAGTACCTCAGCCTCCACCATATCCTGGGTAACCAAGTCTCCCACTTCCACACAGAAAACAAGGTATGTGTGTTTAAAAAACTCACATGTAGAAAAATCTGCTGTTCCTAACTAGAATTTCCCAGTCTTTCCGAGGAAGTGCTATACAAGCACTCTGGATCCTATCAACATGAAAATCAAAATGGCACATACACAAAACCAGCAAAGGTTTCTCATTGCATTCATGTTTTCCTGTGAGATCTCTGACAAGAGGACCTGAAAACTAATATGGTCACTGCTACTGGTTCCAGACACTAAAACCTGCAAGACACTGAACAATAATGGTTTTTTTAGGTGGACTCAAATGAGTTAGCTTCTGCAGTCAACTGTTTAAAGGGATTTTTCTAGGTAGGTAAAGCATAGCTTTTAAACTTTTTTTTTTTTTTTCTGTGTGTCTTTTCCTCCACCCTCAACTGCTAGGTACCAATATGCACACGGAACAGCCATATTTTAACTATTATTTTTATGGTATGTATAAAAGCAGAAAATATGAAAAAAATAGTTTAAATGCCAGAGACTTTTCTGTCTCTTGAAACAGTTTGAATAGACTTTATAACAGCATAGCTGAAAGCTATCCTATAGCAAATGTGATTTCCGTTTACCCTGCATTCTCTACATTGAACAAATACACAAATATTTCACTACTTTACAAAATTTTTCCTAGAAAATCTGCTTCAAAAACTAAAAGGACTTAAAAATCACTCAGGTGACAACAACCTGCCACCGGTGCACTATGTATGTTTTATGTCAGGAAGGACACATTATCCACATATTACAAAGCACCAAGACAGATGCATATTTTTGCTCATTTTCAGCCCTGTAATACTGTGCATTTTTAATTGCTGCATTCCACTAGCAGGGGGAATGTTCCTGCAGCTGAGATGAATAACTTGTCTTAAAGTTACTAAAATGAAAAAAATTGTGATTTTATGTCAAAATGTTCAGGCGTACTCTGTTTATACTTTGTTTTCTATTAGCATGTGTTTAGAGCTGCAAGAAACACTTGCTAAGCAGTATGGCAGAAGGGTCAAATGTTAACACAGAAGCCATTTCCAATTAAGGGATTAGTTATTTCAAAATAACACAGCAAATCTCATGTCTCCTCTCCTCATAAATGGCATGATTTCTTGCAACTCAGTTTATTAAAGAAAACGGTGACAAAAAAATGTCAATTGCCAAAACACACACAACTGAATTAACTTTTTCAGAGCTTGATAAATTTTTTTTTTGTAACTCAAAAAACTAGGAGGAGGGCATTAAAAAAAGAGAAGACTATAAAATTGGTAAAAATATGAATATTGGTGAGACAAGACTAGAGCAATGGAATGCTCCCCCTTCCAGAAAATCTGAGGCTGGTAAAGATTTCCTGTAATTAGCTCTACAATGCAAAACGTAAATGTCAGGAAACCTGTCTGGGTGTTATCCCTTTGTAATGTAAGCCAGAGCATTGCGCAATCACTTTCATAACCTGATCAAAATTCCATCTAAAAATTGGTGAGACCTTTATCTCTGCATTTGTATTTGGAAAGGCTCTTCCAAAATCTCATTGCTCTAACTACAACAGTTTCTTCAAACCTCCAGTTTAAATGTATTCATGGTAAGCTTATACGTAAGCCAACACTGTCATTTAATTTGTACAGTTTTACTTGTGCATGTTTACCTTCTCTTCATCCTTTAGTGGCTGCAGTTCTATGTTGCTTCAGCATTGAATTTCCTGTGCTAAAGATGCACATTGTTTAAGTCTCTGCACTACAGTAATTAGATATTACGGTAATCAGTGGCATACATAATTTTTTTTCTGAACCAGTTCAGGCTTAAATCATTTGTCTTCAACCTGAAGAGCCAGAATAGTGCATATGACTCCAGATGAGTGGTCTCACTTTTTTTTTTACTTTCAGACGATGTCAAAATCTATAACAGAAGTGTCAGAATATTTCAAACAGCCCATTCAGTATCTGTCAACAGAAATATGTCCTTGGTTCAGTGTGCCTACATTTTATAAAGCAAAAACAATGTCCAGAGCTTGGAAAAGTACAGTGACAAGTTGTACAAGGCTTCAAGCTTAAAATATAAAATGAACTAGGAAAAGTTTTATTTACTTCTCTGTGAGAACTCTTTTCAACAAGTGCTGGTAAAGCAACATGTTTAGAAATAGAAGGGAATCTGTAATGTTTTCTCCAATAATAAGTAAAACACAGTGTCAAAGCACATTCCCAGACTTTTGGAATTACATCTTTTATACTGAGAGTTAGGGAGGAAAAGAGAAAAAAATGTACTTTTGCAAATAACTCTCGGGCATGGTTCAGGCTCAGCATGTGTGTGGACCATTCTCAGCGCATACTTGTGTGCATACCACCTGTTTTAAGTGGAGGAAAACTTAATAGATTGCATGCAGGCTGTTCTGTGCCAGCTGGCTTCAGTGCCAGCAAACATCCCCGTAAGCAACTAATTAATTATTTCAGATACAGTCTGTTCCATCACCAGGTAAATGATTTAAAAGTTAGAAAAAGTTTGATTCTTAGCATCCTGTAAATACTGTTATTAGAATACTGTGCCTGTAGGGACATCTTGCAGAGCACCTATTTGTAATGTTTTACAACTCTCCATCATTCTACAACTATGTAATCATTACAGAGAAAAAGCAACATTAAGACCTCTGTCCTAAAAAATCCTTATGATTCAGTGTTTTTTTACTTTTTCAGCTTTGATAGAATACCACCAGTAACCAGCAGGAGATGAATGAGTGTGGTACTGGGTGGTAGTGCACTCTGAGCACCCCTGATATCACCCTCCTGCCACAAACGAACTCTTGCTCCAGGCTCTGGAAACTGACTTTTGAGGTATGCCCTCTAGCAGCAGGTACGTTAAGCAGAACAACTGAAGGGGGAGAACCATCCTTGTGGGATAGGTTTTCAAGTTCTCCAGGCTGTGAAGTATTGTACACTAGGTCCACCCGATAGGGTTGAGGCATTTAGGAAAAGATCTTGGTTAAACTCCAGATGTCACACTCAAAGAAACTCTGAGCTGTCACCCTATCAAGATACAAGCTTGTTGGATTGTAATTTTAGATATAATAGTCAAGTGAGCAAAAGCAAATCAAAGCATATGAACATTTTAAGACATCATTTAACATATAACTTAATGAACAATATAAAGTTACACTGACTGTCATTTTAAGGCCTCCCTCCCCCCATTACAATTATTTTTTCTTAAGACCAAAAATTTCCTATCTTACTAAAACATCCACTCTTGTGCAAACAGAACTCTTGCAAGCATGCCTTAACTGCCTACAGATTTTTCCAATCAAAACACTACATATAAAACAGTACTACTTCTGTTAAACTCACAAAAATTAATTAGATTTTCCACTTACTCTTTGTATGTTCCTGTTTCAGAATCTTCAGTCATAACATCATGCAGCCCTTCCACTGAAATGTTGATGATACCGCAAAATTTATCTTGGATAACACTGGAAAAGAGCAAAATTTATCTTGGAGAACATTGGAAGAGAACAGGAAAGCGACTTAGCTAAAGGAACTAAACAGGAAATTTGCTCAGTAGCTATAGAACTCATCTACTAAGCACTATTTTCACTGCTTACTGCTTAGCGGAGCACGCTATCAAGCAGCCAATTCAATATTTTAACTACACAAAGGCTTCAAAAATACACAAGAAACATTATTCTTAAATAGAATAAAAAACTTCACGTGCCACTGCTGAAGACCTAGAAATAATTGCAAATGGAATAAAATAAAAGATACATTAGCACAGACTCGAGACCTGAGACGGGAGAGCATGCTCCTGCTAGCAGGGAGGTCAGAGTACCGGCTTCTATTCCTAACACACTGACACATATTCTCCCAGCACTATTTAATGCAAAATCTACACACAAACCCTAGGGCAAAGGGCAACTTGTAAAGATGGTACACTCCCCTATTGTCTTCCTCTGTCCAGCCTTATGAGTATTTCCTCACCCTCCTAGGCAGCTGAATGACCCCCCCCCAAGAGACAGAAAAATATTTGCACCCAGTTCTGCATGAATGCCACTTCCCCGACTATGGAGAGAAAGGTGGGGTAGGATTTCTGTGCTTTAATACAGGAAGCTCCTGCCATTTGAAACACTAGGTTATTTAAGACAACTGCAAAGGGCTGCCAGGTATGACAGAAGAGATAAGCACCTTTCCCCACCACAAGCTGAAGGCCAGACTGGATACCCTACAATGTTCAAAATAACTTTAAACACGCTTAGACACTTGCCCCTGCCTTGAGAATTGATGTGCCTGTACAGTAAGGCCATAGAAACATGATCTCCCCATGATGGATAAAGTAGGTGCCACCAGCTCCTCGTGAACGGAAAGCAGCTCTGCTGAACTTCCTGCTACTGTGCATCTAATGGCCAAGATGTGTTATCGTGAGACTTCAGCACATGGAATCCTACTCTCTGAACTACAAAAGGGTGAATACATACTGCAAGTGAAAAGATTATCATCTTGGGAAGACGGCAAAAGTTCCAGCTACAAGCAGCAAAGAAACAGAAATGGCCTAACTGGCGATAGTAAACTACAGCTCTCTTCCTGGAACTGCCATTGACTGAAGAATTTTATTACTCCCTGTTTGGAATTTCAGGCTTAATTTTCCCCAAAAGATGCTGTTGCTGTCTAGTAGGCAGAAACAAACATTCTATATTCTATTTTGTTTAAAGGTACACAAAAGGTTCAAGTATTGTAGTTTAATACCATGTTTTAATGTAGACAAATATATTTCTTAATATTGTTTCATTCCCTCTTCTTATTTGGGATGAAAACTAAAAAACTGGATAAATTGTAGCTCCTTGTACATTAGTTATTGCATTTGAAAAATTTCTTGTCAGACGTACAACAAAATTTTACATATATGACAAACACACTTTATATAGCAATAGATGCTTTGGAAAAAAGCATATTAAGTTAGAATACTAAGCATATAAAGTATTTATTTCAAATTTGTTTTGTTAAGATTATGATTCAACTTATGATAATTTTGTTTCCAAATGGTTATTTTTGTCACTTTTTTTATTCAGCTACTGTCGAATGCCAGGATCTGAACTGTATTTTGTATAATGAAACTTGAAACACAATTTTCATTGCCTGGTTTGCTCTTATTATCACTGTCAAGCATGCATTTTAAAAGATACTTTCTCCCTTGTCAAAAAGCTTCCCCATCTCATTCAGAACAGCGAAGTATTACATGTTGTGAGACTGAATCTCTGTGGGGTTCTGCAAACAGCCTACCGACCACACAGCACAGTTGAGAAAGTGAGGGTTGCCTCCTTAGCAGCCTGCAGAACAAGACCTCGGAGAGAGAGATTTCCTCACTCGAGTCAGAGATTCCTACCTAGCATACCCCCATTAAAGCTCTCCTGCCTCATACGTTTTTTTGAAAAACATCTCCAGGAAAATGCCATTAATATGGTTAAAATTTTCCGACACGAGAAAGGAAACAGCTGTCCTCAGATTCATGTCAAAAGAGGACAAGGGGCATTCAACCGAGAACAACTGTGAACGCTTTGCACTCTGGAGAAGTACACTACGCCCTGTACGTATGCAGTACTTAATCAATAATACAGGTTGCTATCCATTAACTGGTAGTTATATTTCTTCCTGACAAGCTGCATGAAGGATCCCTAACTGCCACAGAAATTTGACATTGGGAGGGAAAAGAAAGGTGCTTGACCCAATAAAGGCATTGCCTTTTCATCAGCTGCAGGGCTAACTATGGTCAACCTGTTCTGCAAGGTTAATTAAACAAAATGTAAACAAATACTGTAAGCATAGTGCTCATTAACTTTATGGGTTTTTTCCAAACTTGCAGATTGATAGGAGGAACACGCAGGGAGGCCCATTTCAGTAACTTGTGTTTCCAAGGATTTGTGATATTTCCTGCAGTAATTGAGGAGAGTGTTTGAAGACTGAACATATTGTTCTTGACAGTTATCTCCAAACCATGTAGAGAAATCACTAATTTCCCTACTTGGACAGGATACTTTTGCCTTATAGTATAAATGAGGAATGGTATTTTAATTCATTCTACAGCAAAAGATAGAAAATTCATAGTAATTTTTATTTTTGTTTGAGGAAAGCAAACAAAAGAATGTAGAAGACCTTTCAAAATGGGGTAATGGTTGCCTGCAGCTTGCAGAAAAGATCACACCTTTTCTTTCTCCCCCTTCTTCTTTTTCCCTTTAAATGGGACATGAAGGTTCTTCCTACCAAAGACTCACTGAAATGTTTACCAAGTGTGGAATCACTAAACAATGCAACTATTTTTAGAATACAAGACACATGCTGGTGAAAAATAAAGACAGGATAGGCTCATTGTGCTTTGAAAAAAAGAAACCTCAGAGTTCAATGGCAATACAAACGCATTAGACCTTATTTTCACAGAAGACAGTGAGCCATGCAAATCAACCTAATACCTTTTTGAAGAGACTAAAATTAGCCTGCCTGTTTAGAGAAATACATCAGAAAGTCATATGAGTAGATTCAGAAAAAAAAACAGGGACACTGTATTTAGATGAACTTTCAAAATGGTTAATACTGTCCATACTAAAATCTTAACTTGGGAAGAAGGCATTGTTTAAGCAGTTCCCCCCCTTGAATTGCATACAATCCAGATCAGCAATGGAACAAACAACAGCATCAAGTTATAACTGGTTTTAGAACCACACAATTTCCCTAAGTTATTAGGACAAAATCTCCTTTGGTATGCAGCAACAATTATCAAAAGACAGACCCAGAATAAGAGAGGAACTTCTCTGAACTTGTTAGGCTCTAAAACATTCCAGCACCCAGTTTAAAAGATGCAATTAACATATATTATTTTTTATTACAGAAAAGATATTTTATGCTGTCTGCAAATAAAATCCACCTTGCCTATAATGAAAATATATAATATAATGAAAACAAAATGTAGCAAACATTTATGGCAGCTTGTATTTGAACAATCTCAAATCTTTTAATTCAAAATTTGCATAATTTGTCAGGTAGAAGAACAAAAGATTTACAAAAGAAAAAACAGATCACATCTGTTCTGAAAAAAGTAATATTGGTTTTTTTCTCATTCTGTCTACTGTTTTTAATACACTCAACTATCTATACAATATTTTTATTATCCTGAGGTTTTATGCAAAAAATCTGAATTTGGACTTCAATTACATAGATAACCACTGTAAATAAAGCCTTATTATCAGCTTAATAAAAGATATAATGATAAATTTTTAGGGGTACTTAAATAAAATGGTCCTCATGTCTGCTATGAATCGTCCTCAGCTTATGAGAAATGGAAAAAAAGTTTTGCATAGGAAAACATTTTTTTTAGTTTTTCCACAAAATGGAAAATTTAGAAATATACCACACAAATCTGCAGAACCTACTACTTTGTAACCACTGATTGTGCACCAATTGTGCAGCTGTTATTAAATGAAAACAAATCTAACACTTTTCATGGGGAATTATGTAGGACATGCAGAAAACAACAAAAATGGGTTAAAGAGGAAGAGACAGTAAGGGATTATCTACCTCAAAAAAAAAAAAATGAAGCATGAATTAGCGTCAGTGCTTTCCCTCCTTGAATACATTTACCCATTACATGTAACAACTGATCTACAAGAAGAAAATTATAAAAAAATTGCTTCTACTCAAACAATCCAAAATAGTTTAAGTTCTTCTCCAAGTAGATGAATTAAATGTAGTATAAAAGTATTTGATTTATTATACAGTAAGTACTATGATATAGTAAATTGATATTTCATTACATTCAATAGAGACACATAACAAGCAACAACAGAGGCACACTTGCACATTCACACCCACACAGTGCAGTCAAGGTCCATGTACGTACTAGTAGCAGATAGTATATGTCCTTCCTGGAAATGAGCCAGAGATGGACAAGCAGGATGACAGAGAGGAGCTCAACATAGCCACTCACACGAGTTACACCAGCAGAAAGCAGCGGGCTAGAACAAGAATGTTGAGGGCAGTTCTAGTTCATCTGGTAAACACCCTGCTTTTCAGGCTGGATCCTGGAACAGTAAAGTACTTCTACACAACTTAATTAACCCCATGGAGAAGAGACTATCAAAACATTGATCTCTATTTTTCCTTGAGCAGAATGATGTACTGTGAACTGTGTTGCTTATAAACCAAGTGGCTGAAGTCTCTAGGGCACAGGCCACTGGAAAACATACAGTATCTACAGAAGTAAGTCCCATTCAGCTATCTGGAAATTTTACAAGATTCGACTATTTGAAACATAGTTTTATGACTTCTTCCTGAACAAAGTTTGAATCACAGGAGTAACAATGAAGAAAAAAGAACATTATTTATGTAAAGTGTAGTATATTTCTTCAGTTTATACCTCTTATCTAGCCAAAAACTTCCTCAAACTATTACTATATAGATGACAAAATATTTTCTACTGTCAACAATTAAC